CGGTCGGCATCCAGGATGTTGACGAACGACCTATTTCGCCACGGAGAAGATGTGAGCTTGGATCTAGACTAGCTCGTGGCGTGTTATAACTGCTAAGATGGACATGTGATTGGTGAGTGATGGGGGTCATGTTGTACATTTTGCACGCCAATTCCTGAATTCCCTTTCCTCGCCATGTGTCTTAGGGATTTCCCGCCAGTGAGAGGCGAGTGCGGGGGAACTAGCGTATAGTTAACTGGAGTATCGAACCTTTCCCCAATGTAAGTCTGGAGTGGCCAGTGGCCGCATCGACCCCAGATCAACAAAGAGAACAGCCGGGAAAAAAGTTAGAGCTGGCGCTTGTTAGTAGAATTACCCGGAATCCTTTGCAGTTGGCAATTCAGGTCGGTTTCTTGATTATCCCGATAACTCCTAGCTCCTTTGACTTATCTGACTCAGTGCCTTTCAGCCTGTTATGTTCAAAATTGGCGGCTGACGGACCGAACTGCCGCCTTTTTCCCCAGGGCTAGTCCATATTGATACATCAACCCAGTACAGACCAGCAGACCAGACCCATTGAATATCATTGAACATGTCGGAATTATGGTACCAGCAACCTGCGGAGGACTGGAATTCAGCCCTGCCAGTCGGAAATGGGCGCCTGGGCGCGATGGTGTATGGACGCACCGACACCGAAATGCTACAGCTCAATGAGGATTCAGTGTGGTATGGAGGACCACAAGATCGCAATCCGCAGGACGCACTTGCGTATCTGCCGCGCCTGAGAGAGGCTATACGCGCGGAAAACCATGCCGAAGCTGAGAAGATCGCCAAGCTGGCGTTTTTCGCTAACCCGATCAGCCAGCGGAACTATGAGCCACTGGGAAACCTGTTCTTGGATTTGGGACATGAGCCCAGTCAGGTTGCAGGCTATCGGCGCTCGCTAGATCTCGCAAGTGCTACAGCGCATGTTAGCTATGAGTACCAGGGTGTTCGCTACGAACGTGAAGTCCTGGCCAGTTACCCGGATGATGTGCTTGCGATCAGATTGCGTTCGTCGAGCAAGGCTGAGTTTGTCGTTCGCTTGACGCGCATGAGTGACTTGGAATTTGAAACGCACGAATGGCTTGACGATGCCAGTGCTACCAGCAACTCCATTACCATGCATGTCACGCCTGGAGGCAAGAACAGTAATCGAGCGTGCTGCGTTGTGTTAATTCGTTGCGACAGTGCTGAGAGTACAATTACCAAGATTGGAAATAATCTGGTGGTGAACTCCAATGATACACTACTTGTCATTGCGGCACAAACTACATTTCGACACGAAGACATTGATCAGCAAACCAAGCAAGATGCAGAGAATGCCTTGTGCGTCTCTCTGGAGGATCTCCGCGCCCGCCATGTTGCGGACTACCAGTCTCTGTACAACCGAATGGAATTGCAACTTGGGCCAGACTCTCCTGAAATCCCAACCGACCAACGTCTAAAGTCTTCACGAGATCCGGGGCTTATTGCACTCCATCACAACTACAGTCGTTATCTCCTGATATCATGTAGTCGGGATGGACACAAATCGCTCCCCGCAAACCTCCAGGGTATCTGGAACCCATCCTTCCATCCTGCATGGGGCTCCAGGTTCACCACGAATATCAATCTTCAAATGAACTACTGGTCTGCAAATATGTGCAACCTGTCAGAATGTGAACTTCCTCTGTTTGATCTACTGGAGCGCATGGTTGAACCAGGCAGAGCTACAGCTCGGATCATGTACGGATGTCGGGGATGGACAGCCCATTCCAACACTGATATCTGGGCCGATACAGCACCCGTTGATCGATGGATGCCGGCAAGTATCTGGCCGCTGGGTGGTGCCTGGCTCTGCTACCACATTTGGGATCATTTCCAATATACATGCGATGAAGAGTTCCTTCGTCGGATGTTTCCCACCCTGCGTGGGTGCGTGGAATTCCTCCTCGACTTCCTGATCGAAGACGCTACTGGTGAATATCTTATCACCAGCCCGTCTGTTTCTCCGGAAAACTCATTCTACGACCGCAAAGGCCAAAAGGGCGTATTGTGTGAAGGCTCAACGATCGATATCCAAATCATCGATGCTATTATGGACGCCTTTCAATCATGCGCAAAGAGACTTGGTCTCGAAGATGCCCTTCTTCCAGCAGTTCAAGCTACAAAATCCCATCTGCCCCCAATGCGAATCTCCCCTGCTGGGTATTTGCAGGAATGGGCCACCGACTACGCGGAAGTCGAACCTGGACATCGTCACACGTCCCATCTGTGGGCCCTACACCCCGGGAATGCAATCACGCCAGCACAAACACCCAAGCTGGCAGAAGCGTGCGGGGTAGTTCTACGTCGACGCGCGCAGCACGGTGGCGGCCATACTGGCTGGAGTCGTGCGTGGCTGCTTAACCTACACGCACGTTTACTCGAAGCGGAGGAATGTAGCAGGCATCTAGACTTGCTTTTGTCTCTGTCTACTTTACCCAATCTACTGGACAGTCACCCTCCATTTCAAATTGATGGCAACTTTGGTGGTGGCGCGGGTATTATCGAAGTGCTGGTCCAATCCCACGAGCCTGGGGTAATTCGCATCCTTCCAGCGTGTCCGAGGGACTGGACCGGATCCATCCGGGGAGTGCGGGCACGCGGTGGGTTTGAGCTGCGATTTAATTTCGAAAATGGCCGTGTTGTAGGTGGAGTAACTATAATTTCCGAGCGTGGAGAGACCGTGGTTGTTCACTTCAACGAGTTACAAGTAGAGATTACTGGTGGTGGTGAGCATAAGATCAACTAGATGGAATACATCTTATAAATCTAAATATTTCAATTCGCAGTATTCTTTTCATATGTTTAACGTACTTTTGGGCCTTTGTCCCAGATCCCTGCACTTCCTAAACCACCACGGAGCAAACACCCGCATATCCCAGTGTCGGGATAAATAGAAGCGAGCAATGAATTATCCGGATAATATCTTTGCGGGGGAATGTCCTTGCAGGGCATATTCAATGAGAGCTCCAGGCTAAGAAAATAAATGGTCAGCTTGTCGCAATTCCACCAGTCCCAATACAGTGCCAACAACAGCAAGATGGATTTGAACTCAGTGCAAGATCTCAAGGATGTGCTCCGGTCCGACTTCTTCCATGGCTACGCCACAGCAGCAGCCCAAATAGAAGGCGCCTGGAACAAGGACGGCAAGGGCGTATCCATCTGGGATACATTCGGCCACACACCAGGAAAAATCGCGGATGGAAGCACAGCTGACGACGCCGTCCGAGCTTATGACTTCTACCGCGAAGACGTGGCACTCATGAAATCGTACGGCGTAAACGCCTACCGCTTCTCCCTGTCCTGGTCCCGTATCATCCCCCTCGGCGGCCGTGACGACCCTGTCAACGAGCAAGGCATCAAATTCTATTCCGACCTCATCGACGAACTTCTCCGCAATGGAATCACCCCTTTCGTCACTCTCTTCCACTGGGATATCCCCCAGGCCCTGGAAGATCGGTACGGGGGCATGTTGAACCAGGACGCCTACACGCCGGACTTTGTGCGCTACGCCCGCGTCTGCTTCGAGCGCTTCGGCGACCGCGTCAAGCACTGGATCACGTACAACGAGCCTGGGGTTTATACACTCGCTGGGTATGCAGCGGGCGTGCACGCGCCAGGCAGATCGTCCTTCCGCGAGCGTAATGCCGAGGGCGATTCGTCCACCGAGCCGTTCACCGTCGCGCACACTGAGCTCGTCTCGCATGGCCATGCTGTGCGCTTATACCGCGAGGAGTTCCAGTCCCAGCAGAGAGGTACTATCGGTATCACACTGCATGGAAACTGGTCCGAGGCGTGGGATGAAGAGGACCCGGGTGACCAGGAGGCTGCAGAGCGTGCGCGCGAGTTTGAGATCGCTTGGTTTGCGGATCCGTTGTATAAGACGGGTGATTATCCTGCGTCAATGCGGGCGCAGCTCGGTGACCGGCTGCCGAGGTTCACCGAGGAGGAATCGAAGCTTGTGTTTGGGAGCTCGGATTTCTATGGCATGAATAGCTACACGACTTTCTTTGTGAAGCATACGACATCCCCACCTGATATCAATGACCACAAGGGCAATGTAGAGATCTTCGATGAGAATAAGCAAGGTGTGTCTCGTGGAGAGGAAAGTGACACCCCGTGGCTACGGGCTGCGCCCGGGGGATTCAGGAAGTTGTTGAACTGGATCTATAAACGATACCAGATGCCAATTTACGTCACTGAGAATGGTACCACCGCCAAGGGTGAAACTGCTCCCACGCCTGAGGTTCTTAATGACGAGTTCCGCATCAAGTTCTTTGAGGGCTATGTCGGCAATGCGTTGGCGCGGGCTGTGAAGGAAGACGGAGTCGATATCCGGTCTTACTTTGCTTGGACATTCACTGATAACTGGGGTACGTGAGTAGTCTTTGTATAAAATGATGCATGACTAATCTTTTCTAGAATGGGCCGCTGGATATGGGGATCGCTTCGGTTGCACTTTTATCGACTTTAAGTCCGAAGAGAAGACTCGCTATCCCAAGCAATCTGCCTATTACCTGGATAAGTTGTTCAAGCACTTGATTAAAGACGCGTCCATAATTCATATCGGAAGATAAATAGGCTATGTAAATGAACCCTTTGGATTTTATCCAGGGACATATATTGTTGGATTGAACTGACAACACCACTTGACTGGGGCCTTTTAATGTACGCACTGGATATTCTAAATGAGACAGCCATCGGAGTTCGCCAGAGACTATTGTGCCAGCACTAGCCTCAGTGACATCAGCGCAAAAAGCTCCTATTCGTTGGAGTCTCAAAACATAACATATCTAGCCAGTTAGGGCAAGACCTTGCGATGCTTATCAACTCGACCCCGAATGACTCCAAACTCCAACTGAGGGGGCGCTCGGAGCTGTTGATGCTCACGTTAAATATCTGAAGATAGCCTGAATTTTGATATATTTGTATAGTTGGTATTATACAGTTCGAACATGTCCGAAAACGAGCCAATCAAGCTGAAGCTCCAGGGAACTCCTCGAGAAGTACATTCCCCAATATTAACATCTGCATATGACAAGAAATTCAACTGACTCAAATACAATTAGATCGGACTACAACATGGTCGCGCATTACGGGAGCAAATCCACAGCCAGATATCCATCTACGACACCATGTTCCAGCACACCTCAAATCTAGCCTGGAAAGATGTGCGCGAAGTCGCGACTGAATTTCAGCCCACGCTCCAGAACCTAACGCCTCATTTGCTCACGGAGATGGAGGGTATAGCCGAGGGCGCTGGGTTAGATGTGCTTGACATAATAGCGCTCAACTGCCGAAGCGAGATAGCTCTAGGACGATTCTCCGATGGCTGCACCTCACTATGCTGGAAGAAAAGCGAGGCGACCCGAGTTCTCTCACAGAATTGGGATTGGACAGCGACCGTCAAGAAGAACCTAGCGATGGTATCGATTGAGCAGGTTGGGAAACCTACTATCTATATGGTTGCCGAGGTCAGTACTCCCAGTGTGCGTCTATATTCTGACATGTAATTAACTATCCTCAGGCAGGAATCGTCGGCAAAATTGGGTTCAATACCAGCGGCGTCGGAACTTGTCTTAATGCAATCCGCGCCAAACCGATGATTAGCAGCAAGGTCCCGATCCACGTTGCACTTCGGTTGTGCTTGGAGAGTACTTCTGTCGACAACGCCGTGAAGACCCTCGAGTCTCTGGGCGGTGTCGCTTCTGCTGTGCATATCCTTTGTGCGGACAATACCAAAGCCCTGGGGCTTGAGCTATCGCCCGTGGGAGACAAGCATATCTCCGAGGATGCATCTGGAATTATTGGCCATACCAATCATTTCCTTGAGAATCGCTATGTGAATGAGCCCCCTTGGCTGTCCGGGTCGCCTATCCGGCTCAAGCGGTTAGGCCAGCTGACGCAGGGGCTAATTCAGGGTGGGGTTCAGGGCGATGCTATTACCCCTGCCTTGTTGCGAGAACGTGTCTTCTCTGATACGTATAACCACCCCCAGTCAATATGTTGCGAAGAGGATCCATCGCGCCATATCTCGAATAGAAGTAGTTCTTTGTTCAACATCGTAATGAACTTGGACCCGAAGAATCTGGGAGCGCAAGTGGTGTTCGGCCGGGTTGGGTCTGGAGAGGAAGGGCCAGTGTTGATAATGCCTTGGTGAATACCATGAAAGACGGAATATAGACTGGATCTGTGTCTTGCGTCACAGAGAAGATGAGACGCCTTTGTGCTAGAACTGCTTTATTAAATATCAATCCTTCACCTCGAATAATTAGGCTACGTTTGAGATATAAAGAATCTGATAATAGTCATTGTGGCTTTGTTTCTCTTTGACTAAGTACTCGACCAGATTTTTACAAAGATATAAAAGAGGCCGGATGCACCACCTTTATACATCATCTACTAGCTACCCAGTCTTCAAACAGTCAAAAGCCAATACCCAGAAGCCCAGGTAAGCCTCACAATTCGCTCTACCCAATACCATTTACTTCTCACCAAAACCATGTCTGGACGCGCTTTCCACGGTACGTACGAAGAGGAGCGTCGCTACTTCATGACCACACTGCATGCTCAAATTGACATTCTCAAGGACCACCACAAGGGGAGCCGAAAGATGGTTGTGAGGTCTCTCGATCTTCTTCTTCTGCGAGTCGAGGGCCTGAGAATGTCCGGACAGGCTCATTATGAGCACAACAACCCTAGTTGGACAGATAAGTGCAACAAGCTCTATGAACGGGTGCAATATTTCAGAGATACTCTGGTCAAGGACCGGAGCAGCACCAACAGAGTCGCCAATGATATCGAAAGTATGATGATCTTTTTGGATTTTTGTGTCCCTGCGGATATCCAGTACAGGATTCAGCCAGATCGAGGTGACCGCAGTGGTGCCCCGTCGCCTGAGCCTAGGCGCTGATTGTGATGTTTAGGTGTCTAGATGTCTAGGTGTTTAGGTCAATGAAGTGATTCAGTTGGAATTCCCGGTAATTGTATTCAAGCTGTACCAGCATACGTACATACATATGTATGTGGTAAGATGGCCACGTATTTGTGAGACTCGACATTTATTTGAGCAACAGAATAACAGAATTTCCTTTTCCAAGTCAGCTCAATAGAATCGCAATGACATTCTTCAGCCGGAAATATGCGGATACCCAAACGTCATTGAGAGCGACGATCACGAATAATTCGAAAGTAATCAGGGCATTGTAATTCGTACAGAGTATCTCTGGAAAAAGCAAAGAGACGCAAGGGTCGGCCACCGCCCTCAATCTTCTTCGTCTGATCTTTTCATTTTTCATTATGAGCATCACCCAAACCTCCCATGATGGCCTCGGCAACAGGAATTCCACAAGATCACCCAGCAACGATTGAATCGCGAGATGATGAGCCTCTATTGGGCCGTCCAGGCGATGTCACACAAAAGCCTGACGAGACCATTTATCGGAATCTCTTCACAGGTGAGCGTGAAATGAAAGCCTCTAATCGAAATCCATGACTGACACAAACTCAGGAACAGCAAGTGTTGCGCAAGCAGGAATCTGGATTGTGAGGACATTATAACATATTCCGAAGATCAAAGAACTAACAAACCGCACAGCTAGCGGCGTTGGTCTGGCAGGGCATCTTATCCCAGCCCCTCTCACTGTTCACCCCGCATCCAGTAAGTAAAGCAGCTGAACAAAATATCCCATATTCCCACACTAACTGGATATTTAGCTACTTGGCAGCTCTGCTCTTCTTCTTCAAGTCCAAGCCGCTCTCATCTTACAACCAACCACCACCCCGCAACAGAAGCGCACGGGTACTCGCATCCACTACTCCTTTCAACTACTCAGCGTGGTCCTTTTTGTATCTGCCTTTGTTATTATCGAGGTTAATAAGGGCTCTCATCCACACTTCGTCTCTCCTCACGGAATTCTAGGTCTGGTCACTTATATCGTTATCGTGCTGCAAGCCGTGGTCGGCGTTATCCAGTACTTTTTGCCGGTCAGAGTCCTCGGTAGTGTGGACGCTGGGAAGCGCATTTACAGGTATCATCGCTGGAGCGGCTATGTTTTGCTACTGCTGGAGATGGCGACTGTCGTGGCAGCGACGCAGACCACCTACAACGTGATGGCCATTCATATTCCTCTATGGGGTGTGCTTGTTGCTGTCATTTTGATTCTCGCTGGGGTGGGTGCGAGGATTAAGAAGCATAAATTGGGGTTGTGAGATGGTACTGAGAGAGGATCTAAGAGTCCTACACACCATTTTTGACCCGAATATAGGAAGTTTCCAATGTAAACGGAGGTCCAGCAGCCTGATCATTGGAGTAATAAATCTGCTCTGCAATCTACCTAGGTACCTCCTGGACTATCCAAAATTGAGACCAATTCTACCAAGTCAATGCTGTGTTCTCCCATACAGAAGGTACACGGAGTGCTACAGAGATGAGACTAAGCCTGAGATTTTAGGGATGGATCCATGATGCCAAGGCCTTGCATGACTCCAGGGCTGTAGACAATTTTTTTTCCCTTTTATTAGTGCTATAGCTAGAAGGATAAGAAGAATTATATGTCACGTACTTCCATATCCAACCTTGTCATATATGTATAGATGCTAGAGACCAGTCAAGTCAGGACTGTTGTAGTAGTTTTATATCGAAACCAAGCGATCTTATCGATACATACGAAAATAATTAATCGCATGCCGGGTACATTACCATTTTCGCCAGGGAAAAAAGCGCTGTTATGATCCCTCGTATTGTTGTATGTTGGAGGGACACGCAGATCCTCCCAAAAGGGCTAAGGCGGGAGATCCACCGCATTGCCTGTTCTCTTCTCTTCTTCCTCCTCAACTCCAATGGCGCTCACTTCATACGTCTGCTTTAATTGCAGGAATTCATATGGATTGAAAGCATCTCTGCGGAGTTTCTCCTCCGCCCGACGCAATCGAGACATCTTGCGACCCGCGACAGCTCCGAAGCCCACGCCGGATGTCAAACACATCCGCCAAAATGCCGACCTCTACGCACAGAACTGTGTAGATCGCAACTATGCAGGTCACGCCGGGTATCCGTCGAAAATTCAACAATTATCAGAGGAGGCCAGACAGCTCGATCACGACCTGAAAACGCCTCGATCCCGCATCAAGCAACTAGAAAAGACCATCGCCAAGCTACACTTTGCGACACGGCAAGATACAGGTGGAAACACCAATGAGAACGGCCTAAGTCCAAGCGAGGAACTGGCAGAACTCAAGTCAGAAGCTCAGCGCCTAAAGGACGACTCGCAGTGCATGACAGAACGCAAAGCAACCTGCACCGAGGAGATCAACCAACTAGCCCTCTCCCTCCCAAACCTCTCCTCCCCATTCACTCCCATTGGACACGACCCAGCTCTTGTACAATACATCAACTTCAACCCCGAAGAACCCCCGACCTGGACCCAGCAATCCCAAACCGAGCTCCAAGCCCGGTCGCACGTCACAATCGGCACAGAGCTCAACCTCCTCGACTTCACCAGCTCAGCCACAACAACAGGATGGGGCTGGTACTTCCTGATAAACGAAGGCGCAATGCTAGAACAAGCACTGGTGCAGTACTCCCTGAGCATAGCGCGACGCCGAGGCTGGAAAACCGTCGCACCGCCCTCAGTAGTCTACTCCTACATCGCCGAAGCATGCGGCTTCCAGCCACGCGACCAGCACAACGAGCAGCAGATCTGGTCCATCGAGCAAAGCGAACGCGACAAAAACACCAAACCCCAACGCTCGCTAACCGGCACCGCCGAGATCCCTCTAGCAGCCATGTACGCCGGACGCGACATCAACGCCTCCGAGCTACCGATCAAGCTGGTCGGCGCGAGCCGCTGCTACCGCGCCGAGGCGGGCTCCCGCGGCGTCGACACGAAGGGCCTGTACCGCGTGCACGAGTTCACCAAGGTCGAGCTGTTCGGCTGGACGGATAGCATGGAGGGCGCCGGCCCGACCTCGGACGATATGTTCAACGAGTTGTTGGACATGCAGATGGAGATCCTGACGGCGCTGCATCTCCCTTGTCGCGTGCTGGAGATGCCGAGTGGGGATCTGGGTGCTAGCGCGACGCGCAAGCGAGATATCGAGGCGCTCTTCCCGTCTCGTCTGCGCGCCCCCTCGGGTGCTGCTACGTCTGTTGATCCTGACATTCATCATTTGGAGTCGGCTTGGGGTGAGGTGACTTCGGCTTCTATCTGCACGGATTACCAGAGCCGTCGCTTGGCGGCTCGGGTGCGTGGCGGTGGCGCTAAGGAGTCACGGTTCCCGCATACGGTTAATGGGACTGCTATGGCTGTTCCGCGTGTGCTGGCTGCGATCTTGGAGAATGGGTGGGATGCTGAGCGGGGCGTTGTTGTTATTCCTGAGGTTCTGCGGCCTTGGATGGATGGGATGGAGAGTATTGGTAGGAGGTAGATGGCAATGGCTGAGGGATTGTTCTCGCTCTCATGGAGATGCTGTATATTATGTATTTTTTTAGGAAATTTGTGGACATATACTTCGTATATTGCAAGTCTTTTTTCACCTGAGCTATCAAGAAGGATAGGTGGTTATCTTCATGAATCTTGCATTGCATTGCCTGATCTTTTGGTATCTCTAAAACATAGTAGACAAAAATGAGGTCCTAAAGACCCCCAACCCCACCATGTTGGGGATAGAGCAGATTATTAAATAAAAACAGAATAGAACAGAACAAATCAGGGCAGAGCCATTCATGACTTCGTGAACACATGAATCAGAAACAAGGAAAAACATAAATCAAGTAAAACATCACGTCATTGCAAATCACAGAGACAGGAGAGTACAATCTGATCTCTTTCATCAGACAAGACCAGCAGCCTGAGAAGGAAAGGCGCAGATAACAGCTCCAAAGAGGAATAACCAAACGCCGTCAAAAACTCCAAGTAGGGCAGAGATATCCAAAAAGATGACGATTAGGACAAAATGTAAACCAGATAGACAGATCGCAAGAAGTCGTGCTGTCATGCTCATTTCCAAGGTAGATCTATATCTTCAACACGGGTGCATGTCAGATATGGCAATCCCGTCGGAGTATTCTCACGAGGACCAACGGTGCCAGTAGTTGTTTGATCCGGGCTTTTCAGCTCCAACTCGAGGAAATTACGCATTAGCGGCTTGACGATATCCCGTGCTAGCCGTTTCATCTCGTCCATCTTGCGCTCGAAGCGTTTCAGAGTCTCGCGCGTGTAAAGCGAGCCAGCAGAAGACGTAGGATGGAGTTTGAGAAAGCGCTTTAGCTCGTCGTGGGGGAGGTATGCCTGCGCGGACGAGGAACCGATCAATCTATAGATGCGCGCAGACGGGTCTGGGGAGGTGGTTGATCGCGACGGGCTTGTTGGGTGCGAGGCTGATGCGGCAGGCTGGACGGGACCGTCGCTTGGGCCCGAGTTCTTAAGAATGGGAGCTGGCGGTGGTGTGGTGCTTTCTATCAGCCATTGGCGGAATAGACATACGGCGAGCCAGTCCAGGTATGCATTTGAGGGGCCGACACGTTCACCGCGCGAGGTGGTTAGGGATAGGCGCAGGAGCTTGGATTCCACGCGAGCTTTGAGCTCTTCGAGATCTTCTACTTTGTCTTCAATCAGGTCTAGGAGCGAGTCTGGTAGAGGCGCGTAGGAGCCGTTTCGCAGACTTGGTAGGGCGGCGGGCCACTGGCCGACGACATGAATCAAGGCTTCGGAGAAGATCACCCGGCTGTGGGCGAGATATCCCAGCTTCAGATAGCTGGGTGGGTATTTAGCGATCTGTTTGAATAATCGAGATCCAAAGCCGAGTAGGTGGTGGTCCACGCGGGGCCCGGTCACTGGAAGTGCGTCGTACATATCCGCCAATGCAAGGAGGGATTTGCACTCTGTATATGCCGAGGCGATGTTGACACTGTTGATAATGGGGGCATGATTGTAAAATATTCGTAGTAGATTATCATAGTCACGTATTAAGGGATCGACCGCGACGGCGTGCTCCCCTGTCTGTGGTAGGTGGGCTACCGACTGCATCCCTGCTAGGTTTGCCATAGATCGAAAGAAGCCTGCCTGGGCATTGGACGGTTTGGTCATCGCCGGAGGGAATGCAGCTTGGTTGCCGCTGAACATAGGGTCATAGGTTGGTTGCTATTTCAACACGCGACATTAGCATTGTTCGCAAAGATGAGGTTATGCGACGCGCCGGCGCAAGGCGTACCTTTTGGACAAGGATCGGCTCTTCATCTTCCGCGCGATTTTCCCAATCAAGTTCATATCGCCAGCGTCTCTTTTCTCCTGGTCGCGTCGAGAGTCCACCGTTATCAGACGGTGCCAGTGTTGACCCGTTCGAGAAATCATCATCCTCGCTCAGTCGCGACAGCGTCCCATCTGGCTTAGATGGACACAAAGCCATTTGGCGCGACCAATCCTCATTTGTACTCGCCTCAAAGAAGCCCGAGCACTGTGATAGTATCAATTTATGGAGGAGATAACGCCTTTCCTGCGATCCGGCGCGGATCACGACCTCGGTGTCACCCGTGTACGTGAAGATGGGAAAATCGTTCGAGGAAGGATGCGAGGAGCCGCCATGGTGCAAGCGACCGGAACGGTGTCGTCTGCTCGAGGGACGCGATACTAGGGAAGTAGTGCTTTGGGCGGTTGTGCGATCGACGATCTGAGCTTGGGAAACCATTTCTGGGGATTTGTTGACATATGCGAACCGGGGGTGCTCAACACCTGTCAGCATAGGAGGGCGTCATCCGAGACCGAGGGGTGGAAATTGGCGATTATTGTAAAAGAAGGAAGAGATAAAGAGAGAAGATAAAGGGAATAGAGGAAGAAAGAGAAGAAGAGGAAGAGAAAGAGGATGAGGAACCCCGAAGGCGTTCCCCGCCAAAAGAAGTCAAAGTAAACAGAGTATACAAGAGGAATATAATAGAGTCATACAAGGTCAGAAAGGGGTAAAATAGATAGAATAGATTCTAGAAAGGTCCCCGTTTCTATCAGAATTCAGTTAGAACTGATACAATATGTGAAATAAAATATTAATAGACCAGTTGACATATGTATGAATGTGGGATGCCGCAAGCAGCTGAATTCGAGAAAGGCCCTACTAGATGAAAACATAACTAGTTACATAGTTAAATAGTCTCTTTGGCTTCATTGTATATTGGATATAGATACTATACTATATAAAATATCTACATATGTATCTATAAAATACTCGACCTCGGCGCTTTTCTTCTCTTTGCCTCCACTTTCTCTCCTTTTGGTCCCGTCTCCAGTTTCTTGTCTTTTTCTTTACTTCTCTTCTATTCATTTCCTTCTTCTAAGACTTCTTCTTCTGCTTCAGTTTATATTCCTTTCTAATCCGGAAATCAATCAGGTGGACTCGGGAGTATACGGCTTGACACCCTATACGAGGGTTTTTATTGCGACGCTCTCCTCCACTTCCTCGACGCCCAACCCCCGCGATCCTCAAAAAATCTGGCCCTGGACACGTCTTCCCGGGACAGCTTCTATAGCTGTCCCGATCTGTCATCACTGCAGATAACATCAGTGCCTGCAGATTTTGACAGTGACGTGAGAACCGATCCATCTCCTTCACCCCCTCCTTCCTTCCAGTCTGCCCCGCACAAAAAACGTTCCAAAACCAGATCAGTCTCGAGGAAAGCGCGTGGTGTGATCGGTAAAGTCCGAGCATTCCAGCGGATCGCTGCCGCCAAGATGGCGCATCCGACTATCAAGATCGACACCAGCGTGTCAGCGACCAAGCGCGGACTGCCCGAGAATGACGATGCTGGCCTGGATATACTCGGTGCTGATCAGGACAACCCCAACCTGGAAGCTGGAAATACCGAAGATGTTCCACCGTTCCTGTGTCAATCTGTCTCGGGTGAGTGAGGGGTGCATAAACGCCTATCGGAGAATACAACCCGCACGTGGAATGTGACTGACCGCTTCCTTATGCAGAGATCCATGACAAGTTTGAGGATCTGGAATGGATGCAGCGCACACGTCTCGCCGAGGGTATGCTGGCCAATGATCTCTTGCATCCCTGGGCCCTGGAGGCAGACCCAAAAGTTAAAGAGAGGAATCGGTATTTTAACGTCCAGGCCTGGGCAAATTGTCGCATCCATCTGCGGGTTGCCGAGGGCGAGTGTGATTTTATCAACGCATCTCCGATCAGACTGGAAGACTCGGTGACACGAGAAGGAAGGAAATACATAGCGACCCAGGTAGGTTGCGCCTTCGGTATAAATCATATACGGTTTTGCTTACTATTAATCAGGGCCCCAAACTTGGACATCTCGCGGATTTCTGGCACATGGTCTTCCATGAAAGCCAGGAGGTCGGCGTTATCGTGATGCTTACCCAAACTTTTGAAGCGGGCCGGGAAAAGTGCGCCCAATACTTCCCATTGGATACGGAGCAGGCTTCAATGGTACTATTGGCAGATGAGTCGGACGTTCTCTTCGATGAGAGTGAGCGAACAGAACCCGGTGTCCTGGGTAGAGTTACACTACTAGAATCAACTTTCGACGCTAGATCACGATCTGAAATCCGCAAACTCGAACTGGCCATCGGTTCGGAGTCAAAGATTGTCTGGCATTTCCTTTTCGCTGGCTGGGCCGATTACTCCAAACCCGAAGGCAGCGATCGCCAAGCCCTTCTCGACTTGATCAAATTGTCAGCGTCCAAATCCAGCTCGGATAATCCGCGAATCGTGCACTGCAGCGCAGGAGTGGGTCGGACAGGAACTTTCATCGCGCTTGACCATTTGCTATGCGAGCTAGAGTCAGGACACCTGTTGGATATGGAACATCCAGAAGTCGACCCTGTTTTCGAAACCGTCAATCAAATGCGCGAACAACGGATGATGATGGTCTACAACGAGATGCAAATGCAATTTATCTATGAAGTGCTCCGAGAACAAACTGATCGGAAGCTGGGCAAGATTACAGACTGGAACATGGACTCCCCTAACGGCAGTGAGGAACGGTCTGCGAAAATCGCCAGGTTGAATGACCAGACAGATTACTTGCCAACTTTCAAGCCGGAGTTGGAAGCTGTCCCAGATCGCGCTCATACGCCGACAAAAAGTCGGTCCGGTACACCGGAGCTTCTTGATCCTGTTAATGAATGACGCCCGCCCAATCCTGTCCTCTTCGTCCCATCTGTGATCGATGAACTTCGGACGAGAGGCTTGTGTTTATGTTGCATCCCTTCATGGCATCCGGTGTTTATTTGATTTTGAACTTGCGATCGTTTCTGAATTACGCCTTCCAACCCCCTGCTACATAATTTTCCTTTGCTGTCGAAATACCCCCCGTTTTGTTACTTTGGTTATCATCTTGGATGTAGTTATTGCTTATTGACTAGCATTGTCAGTCTCGCCCTAGAGTCACTGTATATTAGCCAATTGGTGATATTGTATGCTTTGCCGACTGCCCTGAGACATTCTACCTTCAACTGGTGACTACATATGTATTTCTATCATAGGCTTTTTGGGGGATCAGATTTCGTTATTAGCATTTTTATGGCTATGTAGCACCTACATATTCCCAGTAAATCCACGCCACTATACAATCCTTTGGAGACGAGAAATCCCTTCCACTCTTCGCCTATCACCTGAAGGTGACCATGTGCTTGCCCATAGAAGATCATCCATCCCAGTCAAGGTATAATAGAACAATGTAAACAAATCAATAAAACAAAAGCGCAGCACTGCTGAGCACAAAATCGAGAGTGGTATAATACCGACGTGAGACCAAGACATCAAATCCATCATCATAAGAACAGAGAGTATAGCAAAACAATATCTGAATACAGCGCATAGATGCTCCTTTCCGAAGCACCAAGTACACGCCTCGCTCCAGCTGAAAGTAGCCTTAATCAATACGTTTTGCCGCAGCAGGGATTGCAGCCGATTGGCCACCGACAGAGCCAGTCTCATGATAACTAGGAGGAGCAGCCTCTCGCTCAGGACTCGGCGCTTCTTCCGTATCCCAAGTGTCAACTGCATTCTCGTCCCAGTTGTCGACTTCCTGCTCAAGACTCATGACACCGGATTCCTGCGGGCCCATCGCTTCTGAGCCGCCACGAGAATTCCCAGCGACGCCACCAAGCTCGACGTCCTCAGTGCCATCCTCCGTCATACCATACCGACTCCGCCGGCGGCGTTCCATCATGCGCCGATGATACCAATTGCAAATTCCGATGGCGCCTAGACTACCGACAACATTGGCGACAACATCGAATAGATCAAAGTCTCGACCATTTGGAAGGAAACCCTGCACAACTTCAGAGCCAATACCAAGCCCTAATGTGCAGACCACGAGGGTCACGTGTAGCGTGCGCCGACGGGTAGTGTCCAAGACCCAGTAAAATGTTACTGAGAGTAGGAAAAAGGTGACGAGGTGGAGGAACTTGTCATTGGGCTGAAGCTGTGTTGGTATCGTTGAAGAGGTGCTGTGTGGGAGAAGACCGATGTAACCGGCTAAGAAGAGCAGGAAGATGAAAGCACCTGAGGGCGGTTAGTTGGGAGATCGCCGGAACCAGAATGGTAAGCCAGCAAAGCTTACCTGCAAAAGGGTAGCGAATGCGCATGGTCGAGAATCGAGTCGGTGAGGAAAAGGTGAGAAGAAGCTTTGGCCGAAACTCTTTTGTTTGTGAAGGTGATCGTTCTGTCTTCGTTGGGAGAGCTGTCAAATGTGGAGGAGTTCGGCCCCAGCTGATGCCTGGTGCGTCATATGCGGAGCAATGGGGATGTCCACAACAACAAAGAAGAGGTGGAAAACTGATACGGAATCAAACAAATCCACAGTATACTCAACAGAAGACCGCACAGAATAATAGATTGGAATAAGTCAAGATGTGAACAATAGCCATTGATCGCAAGTCGAAATAGTGACAATGAGACAAGATCTGCCGGTTGACTCCGCCTTCATGCCCTGTACTTCATCCCCGTCCAGAGAAACTTCCTATGAAGCTCCCCCGGACCTTCTTCATCAAACCTCTCCGCCACGCTATCATTTTTCACTGGTTTGACATCTTCAGTCAATTTTACCGGGGGTGTTTTCAATCTCTATGCCTTTTGTCCCTTCTCCGACCCCTGTGTCGCGTCCGATCGGCCCGTAATCCTAATCGCGGAGAATCGAGTCTCGCCCGCCCCAGAACCGGGGTTTTGGAGCGAGCATGTCGCTCGGCCACAACGCCTGGCCTCCGGGCAATATACGGCCCCCGGATGATCTTCAGGACTCTCCCCGCCCGGTCAATGGCTTAGTGAAGACTTTATCTGGCTCCCGGACGCCCCAAATACGCGGCTCTGTTGGCGCCGAAGCGCTGAACCCCAGCTCGACATCCGAAACCGATATCGCGCCCGAAGAAGACCCGCGCATTGCTCAATTCCGTGAATTGTATCGCCGCAGTGAGGCGAAAATAAGTGCGCTGTTCTGTGGACAATATTCGGAGGATATCCCTGCGGCTGAGGAGACTACTGAGTCGTCCGAAGCTCAACCCGAACGCGTCGACCATGCGCCTCCCCCTTCCACCGCCCCACGCAAGTCTGCTCGAAAGCTCGACGACGATGACTACGATGACTACGACGACGATGACGAAGACGAGGAAATGGACGATGCTGCTGAATCCCCTCTGAAGACCAAGTCGGCCGCTGCATCACAAGAGCCTAGTGGTGCTGCGCCATTAGCACCCCGTCCCGGTACCTCGATATCCACTGCTGCGGATGGACTTAAGGAGCCCAAGAAGGAAACAATGGAGGATCTCCGGAAGCAACTTGAGGAAGACAAGAAAGCTACGGAGGAGGCTGCCAGAAGAAGCTTCCACACACTGTTCTACACCCTTGAGAATGATCGGGATGCCATGCTTGATCAACAGCGCTTGGAAGAGTCGGAAAGACAAGTTGAGGCAGAGATATCCGGCCAGGCTAACATGGGTGGCAACAATACCTCAGGCGCTTCCAATGGCTACAGTTCCTTGAGTAATACCAACCTGGGCGCTTCAAGTTTGACTCTGAAAAACCTTATCGCACGAATTGACAAGAAGCGAGACCGGGTTCAGGCGTCAGATGCTGAGCTGCGAAGCCTGCTGAGTGAGGTTCGCAAGAACCGCAGCAAATGGGCGAACGAAGACAAGGTCGGCCAGGAAGAGCTCTATGAAGCTGCGGAAAAGGTTCTCAGTGAGCTCAAAGCTATGACAGAACACTCGACTGCTTTTTTGACTCGCGTCAACAAACGCGATGCCCCGGACTATCATACGAGTAAGCAACCCTTTGATCGCAATGATCTGTTTCATCTATTAACGTTCCACTAGTCATCAAGCACCCGATGGATCTTGGATCAATGACCAAAAAGCTGAAAGGCTTGCAGTATAGATCCAAGCAAGACTTTGTCGATGACCTCACCCTCATTTGGGCGAATTGCTTGAAATACAATACCAACACGGAACATCCTCTGCGGAAGCACGCACTTTACATGCGCAAGGAGACTGAGAAGCTTGTCCCTCTCATCCCAGATATTGTCATCAGGGACCGTGCCGAGGTTGAGGCTGAAGAACGTCGACTCCAGCTTGCCGATAACGATGGCGCCGAGGAGAGTGACGATGAGCCCATCATGTCCTCGCGGGGTAGAAAGGCTCCTGGCAAGAAGACTTCCAAAAAAGGAACAGCCCCTTCCCGTAATACTCCCAGTCCTGCCAGGGCCCCCAGCACTCAGCCAACTGCGCCAGCTCGTGCAGATTCGGACGCTGCCGGTGAAGCTAGTCAAAATGGATTTTCCACACCACCTCCTGGATCTAACACGCCGTCTGACCCTGCTGGTTCAGGAGCGATAGCTGCAGTGAGCCAGGACGATACGATGGATATCGACGGTCCGAGTACGTCGACAACTGCGCTCAGTGCCCTGTCAGTTTCCGGCGGCGTAGAGCCGGAGGACCCCGAATACAAAGTGTGGAAGCAAGTCACCAAGAAAGATAGAGCGCGCGTTGCGGCGGAGCGACATCGTCTCCTCCGGGGAGACAAGCTCAATTCCGAAGAACCCGCTTTACTCAGAAGTAAAGCTGGCATGCGCCGATGGCTTCGGCACCAGAAACAAGCTACTATCGAAGCTGACAAGTCTCGTGACGGGGACTCTCAAGCCATGGAACCCGAGGCCGCAGGCGAGAGCCTTGCAGAAGGGATTGAGGTCGAAGAAGACCAAATGCTGCCTTATTATTATGATGTTATGTCTGGGGTTCCTGATCTTCCCGATAAGCTACTCTGGAAGGAAGACGCGCAAGGCAATGTTGTTGATGCCTCTGAAGAGTATCTTCGGATGCTTCCAAAAGGTCATTTCGTCCAACCGGATAGCAAGTTGACCCGGAAGATGAACTCGAACATGCGGCAGATGCAAGAAACTCGCAAGATCTGCTCAAAGATTGGCATCGTCAAGCAGATGCAGCTTCAATCCCAGGTAAGCGAGTTCATTACTCTGTTATGACCTGAGCTCTCAGCTAACTTTTCTTTAGATGTATCAAAATCAGTTCCAAAAATATCAACCAGAGCCATTTCTCGAACAAGATATCGAACCACATGTCATGAATGACAACGGCCCTGTCATTGCCCCCTGGGCCTGTAGGGCAGCATTGCAGCGCTCGGTCGCTAAAGTTTTCTATCACACTGGCTTTGAGGAATACCAGCCGTCTGCTCTTGAGGCGGTTACAGATATTGCGGCCGACTTTTTCCAGAAGCTTGGGGCCACCTTCAAGTCTTACATGGAAACACCGAAGGTTCCTACTACCGAGTCACATGAAGCTGCACCTTCAGCCACCGAGTGGAAACCTGCATACACTCGTTCTGAAATTGTCTTACACACCTTGTCTTCTGTGGGGATCCATATAGATGAACTGGAGTCCTACATCAAGGACGATGTGGATCGTCTGGGAACCAAACTCACCACTGCTCATGATCGACTCAAGTCACTCCTGACGGAACTCCTTCGGCCTGCCCTTGAAGGCGGCGAAGACGGCTCAAACGCATTCGCTGATGGCAGCGAACAGTTTGTCGGTGGTGACTTTGCTGAGGATATTGATGAGGATTTCTTCGGTTTCAAGGAACTGGGCTTGGATCGGGAGTTCGGCCTTTCCACACTCAGTGTGCCCTTGCATCTGCTTCAAAATCGGATGTTCAATGCGGCCAATCCTCAAAACACGAGTGTTTCACAGACTGTTACCCTTTTCGCTCCACCGCCCCCTTATGCACGCATCTCAACGGACAACTTATCTCGCCAGATTGGCCTCCTACAGGAGTTCTTCAAGGGCAAGCTTGACGCAAACAATGATGAACCTCTTGTGGAAGACCTGGAGCTGCCCCCCAAGCAGCGTCCCATGGCTATCAAACCCCGTCTCCCAGCCTCAGGCAAAATCCCCCAGGCTAGTCTCCCGGGTCTTTCATCCAGCCCACAGAAACGAGCCGCCCCACCGATGGCATCCAAAACGGGCGGCGCAGAGCCAAGTAAGAAGAAATCCAAGAAGAACAGTGGCGTGGCACTCGAAATGCCCGACTTCAATCCCGATGGCGAAGGCGACCAGACGACTGGTGACCCGGCAACAAATGCCAATATGAAGACCGAAGAAACCGGCCTTGTTGATGGCGCTGGTGAATCCATGACCAACGGAGCGTGATTAGGTAGGCCTATGGTTTGACTACGAACATGGTCCTATGCTTTCCTTCACACCTCCTCTCCTTCTCTTGCGTCGCTTGTTTTGCGTACCTCTCTGCATTTTTATTATGGTCTTCAATATCTGCGACCCACGTATCACGACACAAGCAGGCAGACTTTCCTGTCCCCTTGCCACGATACAGTTGACGAGGAGCCAGCACTCAATATTTGAATATTGGGGGACTGTGCTTTTTTGACCCTCAAATTTTCATCGATACATTATCCAGTCCTTGTATTTTACCGGTTTTTCTTGCTTTTCTTCCCTCTCTTCTGTCCTTGGCTGGAAAGGCAGAGTGGATAATTGCCCATTTTAGTCTCTTTGTATTATAACGTCCCTTGATGGGACTTTTCATTTCTCAGCAGAATACCTATTCAGATTTGTCCAATTCAGACCTATTCTCGTGTGACTTGTGTCTTGCTCCTAGGTGCCAGCAAGCAAATATCAATGGGTAGCTCGCCCTGCTAATAAGGAGTGACATGAAGAACTAGGAGCGGTTTCCAAATTCATGACCCCAACCAAAGTTCTATAGAATGAATCCAGTGTTGTATCAAAGACGTCCACATAAAAGGAAAGGGGAAAGGGGCAAGCCAATGCACTTGGAAAGTTTCCAAGTCTGCATTCACCGAGTTCTATTCCACGAAGAATACATCGGCACGTCGGAGTAGAAAATGAATTAAAACTTCTACTCAGCCTCTAATTATATTAAGTGTATCAACTGCACGAGAAATGAAACTTCCCGTGGAACGGGTTATTTTGGTATTTTCTGGGTTAACATGGTAAAAGAGATATGAAACTGATTCGTCATGAACTGAAGATCAACCTTCGGTATACAATCGGTCAAGTTGTTAGAAACAAACCGCCCATTGAAACCAGGTTCAGATCGAGCAGCGTAACGAAGATACAAACAGGAAAAAAGTGTGGCTTATTCAGAACCTGCAAGACCAGCCTCGAGGATGCAACCGGCCCAGTCGTTCTTGGAACAACAGCCACCGCGGTCCTACCGCTCAGATCAAGCCATCCTGAAGAGCAGCATCACAAACGTAAAGCCATCGAAGTTCCGTTCGAGCATAGCATAAAAAAACGTGGAGTAATCGCAAAGCAGTTCTCAAATTAGAAAACCGAGTCATAGGGCAAATGCCTCGGAAGGGAACCGGCACCGTCATGGAGTGAACAAGGTAAATCTTGTCCACAACCATAGAAATGTTACAGTTGAATTAAACGTACCACATACCCAGAGCCAGCCTGTTCGAGGTGCCTTCAATGGGAAGCAATCTCTTGGCTCGGGGCTCTTTGGGCTTCGGGTTCGTCATTTTCACCTCCGGACCACTCTGGGGGCCAGAGGTAATAGGAACATCCTCGTGGTGACGAGCACGAACCGAAATTAAGTGGGCATAGTAGATTGCAGGGTGGACAGAGACAGAGGTTGTCGAGCGGATGTACTGGTAACAATGATCATTGATCATGCCCTCAAGGTCATTAGGCTTGAGACCCATCTCATCCAACAGGACATGGTAATGGACTGGGCGGGGAGTTCCCTGTAGAGCAATGTGCGTGTAGAGCAAGAAGTCCCAGTCGTGTGGGCTAGTCACATCCCGATCAATGAGAGTACCCGGCAGGGGGCCGCCGTGGCTGTCCGCGGCTGCGCGATTCTTGGGGTCAGGGAACGCTCGAAGATGGTGGCGCTTGTTGGCAACCACAACACACATCTTGCCGCTCCAGATTGCCTGGCCACACGCATGTGCAATGGCAAAGCGAATTGCAGGGACCTCCTCTGAAAGAATTCTCTGGTATTCGGACGCAGACACACCGTCACGGAAATAGTAGACATACTCAGGAGCCTTGCCACCCCCAACAGTCGCTTTCCACTCAGCCACCATGGGGTGCAGGATGTACTCGACCACTTTATCCCGGATAATCTCAATTCGATCTCCATTGGTCTCACATCCACCCATGTAGCGAGTTGCAGTGGAGTTTGCCGAAACTGACATGGCTGCCAACGACGGAGTCCACACACCCATCATTGGATGAGTGACATCTGCCCCAATAATCATGGAGCCCGGGCGTAGACCTGAACTCTTTGACTTGGGGACAGCCCGAGCAGTGATTCCACCGAGCTTTGCATTCACCTTCATGAGAACATTCGCGTGATATTGAGGCCTATTGCTGATACAGTGCGCAGATTGGAGCACTTGAGAGGGAGTGCCGTATCGGCAGTCGGAAGACTTCTTCAGCCGAAGGTAGACCCAAGAGTCCTTGTCAGGAACGATGAATACCATGAGCTGGGGCTCTCTCTTGTTCTGCGCTGCGATCGCATCGTACAGCTTTTTGACACTGGTGCCAACGTCTTCGCTCAATCCCTTGACAACTGGTCGGCCAGTGACCTCACCACCCATGCTTTTGTACATCTTCACGAATTGTTCAACCCAGCTGAGAGTCTGGTCCTGGGTGATTGACTTGCGGTGTCCAGCAAAGAACCCGACGCCCCAAGCCTCAAGGGCCTTTTCATTGGGCTTGTAAAACTTCTTACCGCGGAGATCCCAGCTTCCCGAATGCTGAGGGTTGTGTTTGCGGTTGCCCCCAAACTGAATCTCGGGGCTTGGAAGCAGGCGGGCCTTGGTCTTGATCATTTGGTCGCTGATCTTCATACCGTAGAGTTTCAGAATCGGATCATTCTTGTGCTGGAGAAGATCCTTGGACTGGCGAGCATTGGCCAGACGCTTCGGGGGCCTGGTCGCACACCATTGAATCATCTGTGCCGCCTGCACATCGGTAAGCTTGTAGCGGTATCTCTGAAGGCCTTTGATGACCAGGAACTCGGCTGGATAATGGACATCTTCCTTTTGCATCTCAACCAAGAGCATATTGGGATATTCGAGGCGAATGTTGTACCGTCTCATAAAGTACTCTTCGAGGTGAATTCGAGTGGACTTCCCGGTAGCCTTGTCGTAATAATCAATGAAGAATTCCTTGGGCTTTGCATGAATCAGGCCCTTGACGATGAAACTCTTCATCTTGAAAGGGCAACCCTCGTAGTTGGGTGCCACGCGAAGACCCTGGATCTTCTTGTTCACCTGTGCGAACCACTTCGATTCCTTCGTACCGCCATATTCGTCGCGGGTTGACTGGAGATTCCTGACCAGGGTCGACTTATCGTTCCACCCGTTCACATTCATCATGTAGCCCATAAGACTGATACGAGAAAAGAAGACGCAGTGAGCAACATCAACATTGAGGATCAGACCTTGCTATAATTAAACGTCAGTTTCCCAACCTTCAATTTGAATCAACAGATGGGACCTTACAGGAGTCGGCTTAATTGCTTGATAGATGCCTCGGTAAACGGAAGCACCCATATTGGCGAGCGGCTGGTAAAACTCCTGCTTCAGCTCCTCGTCATCTCCAAGCTTGTCGAAGAAGAATGCCCGCTTGATTGCAGCAAATTGTTTGGTGGGCCATTCACGAAGCAAATGATCAAGGAAGCCTGTCATTATCAGCTTGATGAATCAAAAAGAGAGGAATACCCGAAAGAAGACTGACTTACTCAGAGATTCAATCACGAGTTCATCCAGATCACGGCGGTTCTGCAGCCAGGCGTTGATAACCGCCAGATTGATTTTTCGCTTCTGGATGACGGACATTCTGAAAGCAGGATTCCTTTTGAACTCATCGACAGTAGCAAGAGTCTTGATATCTCGGGTCAAGTCGCCCTTGATGTCGATAACCTCATTCCAGTCATCGAAGTTTCGCAGCGACCTGCAATAACACAGATTAGAAAATTCATAGCAGCAATCAGAAAGATATTATACTTACCAGCAGATTCTTCCGCCATCCCAGATACCATCAGGAATGTGTGCCTTTCGAGTCTCACTGTTCCAGCACTTTCTGAGGACGCGCCTGTCGGTCTCATTCTGGTCTCCGTGCAGAACATTGATCTGGTAATTGATAAGCAAACAATGGCATCGAACAGGAATGGAAAACACTCACCTCGTACTGGTAAACCGCCTTGTCCGGGAAAGAAGTGATCGGGTACGCATTCATCATAACCTCGACCTCTTTGCCAGAAGTGTTGTAGCCAACACGACGCTGAATTTGAGTCTCCTCTTGGGCACCCTAGAAAAAAGGGTTAGCAAAACTCATTATCCACAGATGTAGAGCCATTGGAAAATATCGGTCGCAAACTTACGGAAGAAGGCCTGACTTTGAATCGATGCCAGGGAATGTCAATGTTCTTGCAGCCATCCCAGGCAACCGTCATGTAATCTTTGTGTCGGGTAATTTTCTCTTGATCGAGTCTGTGTTGCTCAAAGACAGCCACTTTCACACCCTCTCTTGCGAGGCGCTCATAGTTGGCCTTCTCTTCCGCGGTCCAGTTGGGCGGGAGTTCTGGAGGCGTCTGGACTCGACGAATGGGAGAGTCACTGCTACTGGAACCAGTGCTCTTAGGCTTTCGCTGCTCGCCCGTATCAGGGTCATAACGTGTTCGGCGCATCCAAGCAGTGTTTTCTGCTTCTTTTTTGCGTCTTACGTCATCTTCCAATTTGGCCTTGTGGTCACGCAGCTCTTGGGCCTGGCGGGGATCCAGAGGCTTTGGTGCAGGGGCAGAAGGACGCAGAGGAAGATCAAGGCTGAGCTTGGGTTGATGGGAGGATGAAGAGGAGTGGGGAGGCTTTGAAGGTGTCTTCGTAGCCATAGTAGATGTGGGGTTAGATTGATACTTGGGGGAGGTTACAGAGCGGTGGCCAGAACGAGATCTATGCTCGTCGGCATCATCTGTCGAGGGGTTCATAGCCTTCTTCGGGGCCATGATGGGTTGATGCTCCTATTGATCGCCTTTTGTTAGTCAGGTTTTTTTGGCTTCTTCTTCTTCTTCTGAGATGGGTGATAAAAACTGAGGTCGTTCTAACAGCAGAGTGGTGACACTGCACGGTTGAAGCAGAAACCGTTCGTTTTTTCGCTTCGCTCGGGTGTAGGAGAAGTAGAGGTGTTAGGAGGACGATCACTTACAAAGTAAATGTTACAGTGAGCTAGAGGTGACGGTCATAAAAGAAGACATGGGGGAGGTGATCATAAGTGTCAAATGCGTCTGACATCAAAGTAAGAAATGTCTTCGGCTTGGGTGTATGCAGAGCTGCAGGAATCCGATGTGGTGAAGACAAAGTGAAGAAGAGAGATGAAGAAGGAAGAAAGCGACGAGGGAAGTGCTTTTATAGAGAAGATCGAGCAGGTTTAAAGAAAGAAGGTGCCTTTTTGAGGATGAATGGGTATTGTTTACCACCTTCCTTATTGGGTACATAGGTAGAATTTATGTGGCAGGAGAGCCTTAGAAGGGACACCCATGGATGGCATCCATAGTTAATATCACCAACTATGACAACTACTACCAAAGTCCGCCCTATGTGATTAAAACGTACTTGTTTATACTAGGGTCTGCCTAACGATATCAAGTACCCTGGTCTTGAGACATCTCGCGCTTCCAGTTGAGATCCCAAAATCTATCTAAAGCTCGAAATTAAGAGCTATAGATATATATATATATATGTATATAACGAATATAGTGTAATGTTACCAACCTATATAGCATGATATCAATATGAAGACTATGAAAACTACAGTCAAAGTCCGCCCCGTGTGGTTATAACGTGCTTATTTATACTAGGCTTGCCTAGCAATATGAAGTACGCTGGTCCACATATCTCGCAACTGAAATCTCCAAATAGCTATACAAGGCTCAGAATTACAGGTGCTATATCGTATACGGTTACTTTTAAGCCCTTTATATACGAATAAGGAATATCATCGTGAATTATATACTTCTATTCTTGACGGGGCCGATCTCAAGAGCACCACGACCAAGGGTAATTTACGCGGCACTCAATATCCCATTTGACAAACATGTCTCATTTACCTTGGCCATGATGCTCGGCATGACAACACCTGATGAGCGATCTAGCCTAGGCAATTAGCCAGCGAGCCAGATGGAGGTTGACTAAAGGGCCCTTCTGCCCATACCCGAGACAGGGCAAACAGCCGACAGCCAGTCGGAATTGAAACGTGGAAGATTCGGTCCTCCAATCCGGTCGGTACCGAGTTCTATCAGTAAATAGAGAGGATGGTACGAATGGGGGATACGTAGGGTGTCCGGAGACAAACCACAAGTACGAATCAGATTCTGATAGGGCTGCCTAGGTAGTGTCTTCGCAAAAGAAGTATCCCTACTCTCCAAACAGCGGTGTAGATCAAAAGGAGAAGGCTGAATAAGATGGACACAATCCCTATTAGCAAATGGTCTACGTATAAGTCTCGCTTCAGCTTGGCCAAGACCATTCCTTTCACCTTTGTTGGTGCATTTTAGTAGAGTGGCCGTGAAGTTTGCGGAGCTGGTTGTTCTTAATGCTGTTTCATTACCTGCCTATAAGGCAGCGCACGACATATAGTTGAGGCTCGAGAAAGGCTGAGACAGGTTCGGTATGGACGTGACCTACTTCAAAAGGAACAGATCTTCAGAATATGAAGTGCGACCAAGTGCGACCAAAGTGAGGAATGGATAAACACTTCTCTATACGTCGCTCTAGGTATCTTTGATGTCTATCTAGCGCTCAATTAGGTCGCAGTTTTACCTTACATGTTAGAACCGAATAGATTAGTCTACGACAGCCCCAACGAAATCTAACCTGGCGGTCCGTCTATCTGTCATGTTGGTGGGTCTAACTCTGTGGTTTGGCCAAAATGTCAATTTAAAAAGAGTGGGAAATGGACTACACTGTCTGTGCTACATGTATATGTTGCTATATATCATTTCACACCCTCTTAGGAATTAGACATAAAAGCAACAATATATAACATGTGTATAGAGATGTATTAGGATATAGTGCGTTTTAGTGGGGTAGAACCTTCTAGGTAATATTGTACACTTTTCTCTTTATACGCCTAGGCTACTTCCTAGGACGGGGTATCCTTAGGCATCCACTCTCTAGCAAATGCCTGAGGCCCACAAGCAGTGCCAACCCTGCAAACCCTTCGGGGGACGACAGACATGTCTAGCATCACGTGAGGATCTTAGCACAACAAATTTTGCACAATTTTACATGAGAAGTAGTAACTCATATTTCACCATGACTCTTAACGTGAACAGCTCTAAGCCGTATAGATAGAAGATGTCTCATTATCTTCTGAAATTGTTGTGATTGGGTCCCGTAAATCGGACCTCGCACTCATTCAATCTCGGTCGATCATATCCATGCTGAACCAAACACTCGATTCTCCCACCACCTTTGAAATCGCCGCAGGCAGTGTTCTTGGCGATGCGCATAAAGAGACGCCTTTCATTCTCCTCTCTAAGCAGACGGGTGGATCAGATATTGGAAAGAGCTTATGGACAAATGGTCTCGAATTGAACCTAGTGGCTGGCAAGGTCCAATTTCTCGTCCACAGTTTAAAGGACATGCCCACAACGCTGCCACCGAGATGTCTCCTTGGAGCTGTCCCCGAGCGTGAGGACTGTTCTGATGCCGTCATAATGAGATCTGACTCGGATTTCACATCTATCGATCAATTACCACCTGGCTCCAAAGTTGGATCGAGTTCTTCGAGGAGAAGAGCCCTAGTTCGGCGAAATTGGCCTCATTTAGAGGTGGTAGAATGTCGGGGCAATGTGTAAGTCTTGATTGACTTCCAATCAAGACAGTGATCTACTAAGTATCTTGTGTATTAGAGATACTCGCCTTGCCAAGCTTGACGCACCTTCTTCGCCGTTTTCATGCATTCTCTTGGCGACTGCAGGACTATCACGTCTAGGACTCGACCATCGAATCACGCAACGACTTGATCCTAGTGTATTCCCTTATGCGGTTGGACAAGGCGCACTCGGTGTCGAAGTTAGCACAGACCGTCCAGATATTCTACAGCTTATTCAGCATGTCGACCATAAGCCGTCCAGATGGCGTGGCATGGCAGAGAGGGCGATGCTTCGAAGCCTTCAAGGAGGATGCTCATCCTCAATTGGCGTTTGCTCTTCTTTTGAGCCCCTGAAAGAAAATGAATCCGCGGATAAAGGACAACGAGGCCCCGGTAGCGGCACTCTTCGCCTCCAAGCCACGGTCATCCACATTGAAGGAAACTCGGAGATATTTGCTGAGGATGTGAGCACTGTCCTGTGTGACGACGAAGCGGAGCAACTTGGTGTCTCGGTCGCGGATATGCTTCTTGAAAAGGGGGCGCGAGATCTATTGCCAAAACAATCGTAGACCGAATTCTACATTGGTATATTTATAAAAAGAAGCAATAAAATACGGACATTAATTGATGTCGTCTATGTACTTGTTAGAATGACGGTAGACTTTACACCGAGGAACTCTCATTTTCTTGGCTTTCTGCGCAGGAGCCGAAACGCAAAACCTTGGCCCTTGTGGAAAGCGGTCGTCGTCCGCCAGGTCGTGGAGGAAATGGGGAAACGGTTTATAGCGCGGCGGAGGCTTTGGGAATCGACATGATCGTGCTCGATAATCCGGGACATTGGCTGGACGGCCCTCGCTGGGGGCACTGGTGCAAAAGTTTCATCCCCGTCGAGTGCACCGAGGAATCTGATCACGTCTTCACAGCTCGAATCGTCAAGGCCATCCACGCCTGGGGCGGGCATCTAGACGGACTTGTGACCTTCTGCGACCACTACAAAGTCCCGATTGCCGCGGCTGCCTTGCAGTTGGGGTTGCCGACATATTCCCCAGAAACATTTGATCTTGTCACTGACAAGTTCAAGTTAAGTGTCTCCGAAGGCCGCCCGACGCGTCGGGCTTCAAACCTCTGAGCAGGCCAAAAGCATCGTACGCGAGGACCACCTCGAGTTCCCTCTCATCATCAAACCTTCCCTTATCGGATTCCAATCTGAAGGCGTGTACCGAGTTGAGAATCTGGAGCAGATCAAAGCAGGAATGCAAGCCACTGACACCGAGAGACACGGTGTTGAGTTTGTGATTGAGAAGTACTGCGATGGGCCAGAGGTGGATGCCAACTTTGTCCTTTGTGACGGAGACATTTTGTTCTTCGAAGCGTCAGACGAGTTCCCCAAGGGCGCCGATGTCAACGGCCAGAGTGGAAGTGTCGACACCTTTCTTGAGCTAGGAAACATTATTCCATCCGAGCTTCCGGCCAATGAGGTGGCTGTTGTACGGGACTTCTCCATCAAAGCTTGCTGCGGGTAGGATTGCCCGACGGCGTTTATCACCTTGAAGCGCGCGTTGAGAACTCGAGCGTGGAATACATAGTCAAGGACAACATGCTGGACCTGTCCCTGCGCTCTGTTCCCACAAAGCGAAAGCCTTCTGCTTGGCTACTGGAGATAAACCCGCGCCCACCCGGCATCCAGGCTGCAGACGCCATCAAGCACTCATATGGAGTTGATTATTGGGGCCCTGCTCTGCTCTTTGCTCTCCAAGATCGCAAGCGCGCCCGTCATCTTTCACACCCCTTTACGCAAGGATCACAGTATTGGTGCGAGATGGTGTTTATCCCGGTTGTCAAGGGCGGTATATGCCTGTCTGACGACCCTTGTTTCGAGCTCTTCAGCAGGCGGCCTGGTCTTGCGGCTCAAGTTTCCTGGTGGTGCACTTTCTGGACCAAAGGAGAAAGAGTACCGGACCCCAGTGAGGACCGTAACGCGTTTTTCGCGCACCTAAATATCTTCTCCAGGACGTCTCGGGCACACACTCCAGAAATCGGTGAGACCGTTCGGAAAGAATTGCGATATTCCATCGTATAAAACAGAAATATCTCTTGTACAGTAGTAGTAGATTCCATTTACCCCGACCCCTCGCAAAGTTGAACCCTGGATTGAGGTACAAGTGTAATGATCGTAGACTAGTGTGAGACCACGCAAGGCAGTCTCTGGGTGTAGAGGGGTAAGCGAAGTAGAATCAGTCAAGCGTGTAGGACAATGGGTGCATTGTAGTAGTAGCCTAAACGCTAGCCCTTCTAGATTCAGCGCCAATGGGCTTCGAAGTTATACATGCAAACTGGCCCTTCCGAGGCTGGTGCGGCTTACTGCTACGGGTCCTAAGGCATAAGGACGATGCCTTAGGCCGACTCCAAGCCATGTCAGACAGTTCCTGACTAGTCTGCGCCAAAACCCACTGGTGGGTCGAGGTCCCAAACCCAAACCCAACCCAAAACTCATTTCGACCCATTCTCTGTATTATTTTCCGGATTAGGCAATGCCAAGCTACATAATTTGGCTTATGTAATATTGTTAAAT